GAGAGAACCACCATGGGTAAGAAACATAGGAGGGCAGTCTTGGAGGGGATTGACCGATTGAACCATCAAGATGCATTGGTCAAATCCAGCATTGGTCTGAAGGACGTCCCAGTTTCAGAGCCTCCAACCTTGGTCATTACTTCGCATCCCCGCCTCTTTCAGGAGCTTCAAGCAGCAGATGGTGTTGCAGACGTTTTTGACGTCGGTGTGGGAGCTGAGCACCTCAATCCTGAGGAGAACTCCAAGATTTGGTATGATGTTTTGCAAGACTACAAGAACATCGTCATTGCCATCGAGTATGAACGGAGTACAGATCCTTTGAGACATGGAAAGATTTTGGGTGAAGTAGAATCCCATTGTGACATGAGTGGTAGCCGGTTTTTGCACATTGACGTTGCAACTACCCCGAGATGGGAGGAACATGAGTTTCCACAGATTCCCCATATCAACGACCATGACTTGGCATTCACCTGCAATGATCCTAAGTGGACTGAGCTTTTCGAATCGTGGTTTCGAGGACAGACCATGAATGATGTTTTGTCTTGGCAGTTCGTTGATTGGTTAGGTGAATGGACCAATGACACAACTTTGGACGATGAGATGTCTGTAGCATTTGTTGGTGAACTGCAAGAAGAGGCCATGGATGATGAACAGCAGTTCGATGCCATCTGGGATGATGAAGATCGTGCACAAGTGAATCCAGTAGAAGACCTGATCTCAGAAGAGACACTGGTCGATGAAGTGGACATCCCAGGCCGGCATGCCAGCAGATGAAGTCGAACGACGCCGGATGTGGCGCAAGTTGCCTGCACGTGTGAGGATTGGTGTGAGAAGATTGCATAGGCAATTTGGACACGTCCCCAAACAGACGATGATCCATCTCCTTCGTGCAGCAAAGGTTCGAAAGGAATTCATTGATGCTGTCAGGATCCACAGATGCGAAACTTGTGAAGCAACATCCCAGAAGAAGGCCACGCGCAAGACAGCATTGCCTAACAACTACTCGTTCAACCACACTGTAGGAATTGATGTGTTTGAAGTTCACGACATTTCAGGTGACAAGTTCCAAGTGTTGAACATGGTTTGTTTGGGTACTACTTTTCAGCTATGTGAGGTTGTTCGTTTTGGTGCTGGTCAACCGTCTTCTGCCGAATGTCTGAAAGCACTGAGGAAGCGTTGGTTCTCATGGTGTGGCCATCCTGTGAACATTGCATGTGACAGAGGTCTGCACAACCGAGGTGTCATGAAGAAGTACATGGATGAACATGGAATCCAAGTGTACCACACCCCTCTGGAAAGTCCGGAGAATCTTGGTCGTGTAGAACGTCATGGAGGCATTGTCAAGTCACTCTTTAGGAAGGTTTGCAAAGAGACAGGCGCTGTTGCAGAGAACAGGTTGAGCAGGTACTGCTCGAGGTAGTAGCTACTAAGAACAACTCCAGTAGAGTCGGAGGTTTCTCGCCTAGTCAGTGGGTACTTGGAAAAGGACCCCGATCAGATCCGAGCCCATTGTCTGAAGAACGGTTTGCCGAGCTTGGAGCTATTGAAGCCCGTCACAACCCAGAGAGCATTTTCGCCTTACAGCACATGGCCAGGCAGGAAGCCCAGAAGGCATTTGTTCACCTAGATTGTTCGGCAAGAGTGTCCCGCGCGCTTACTCGCAATGCTTCCAGTCTTCCTCGGGAGTATGCAGTAGGTGATCTAGTGACCTTTCGTCGAGACAATCAAAAAGGGGGCACCACATGGAGTCCCACTAGTCGGGTGATAGGCCATGAAGGTGAAAGGAATTTGTGGTGTTGGTCGCCAATCAAAATGTGAAGATTGCTACGCCGACCGAAGCACTAGCTCATGCTGTTTTGCATGGTGAGCCTGTTTTTCCCGAAAACGTTGTCAAGGAAGGTGTTCAGCAGTCTTTCCTTGATGCACGTGCAGATCCGAGCGAACCCGGATCCCCAATACACATCGAATCTCAAGAAACCGAACCCCAATTTCCGGATGCTGGTTCACTACCCCCTGTTCCAGGAGATGATGAATTAGATGTAGGGATCAGACCGGATTTCTTTGATGAAGACCAATCCGAAGGTGAAGATGCGCTTGAAGAGTTGAGTAGGTCCGCTAGCTCCGTTTCACGTCCGTTCCCTGACACAGGAAATGAGCATAGTCGCAATGTGAGGCCCCGTGTCGCCGAACCGGAGAGTGAACGCGGTACCTCATTGCAACCATCCCGCAGGGAGTCCACGAGTGCTCCACATGCATGGCCTAATGTGTATGATCATTTGAACGACTTGCCAGCTTCTCTACGAGAACATTTTGAGAGAGCACGCCAGAGAGACGGAGAGCTACCAGAGCAAGATCGAGAAGAAGCACATGCCATGTGGACTAGTTTTCTTGCCCAGACTGAGGATGAAGCAGAGCTAGGTAAGAAGGTTCTAAAGAGCATTCACTATGAATCTGCGCCTCCAGAAGTGCAGAAAGCCCTGCAGGAAACAAGGCAAAAGGAATGGTCCGAATTTGAAGATTTCGGAGCAGTAGTGGCATTGACCCCAGAACAAGCGCAAGAGCTCATTGACGAAGGGCACCAATGCATTCCATCCAAATGGGTGGATGTAGACAAGGCAGAGTACAAGAAGGGGAGAGACCCTGACTACAAGCCCATGTATAAAAGCAGACTAGTTTCGTGCGGGAACTTTGAAATGACAGAGGGTTTGAGGTCAGATAGTCCAACGGCCGATGTCGAGATGCACTGTCTCGTCTGCAGTTGGGCAGCCTGTCATCAGGCCGACATCCATTCAGCTGATATCACCTCGGCGTATTTCCAGGGACGACCATTGGATCGCGTCCTTCTCATGCGTCAGCCAAGAGGAGGTTTGCCAGGTGTAGAACCCAATGTCCTTTTTCTCGTGAGGGTCCCTGTATACGGAATCACGGAGTCAGGAAGAGGCTTTTGGTTGCGTTTGGATGCCGATGCACGTAAGAGCGGCCTGAAGGCAAGCCAGTTTTTCCCAGGATTGTACTACCTCCCGGGTGAGCAGGGAGGAGATGCTTGTGCCCTCATGTGCACTCACGTGGACGACTTGCTTTATAGTTTTCTTCCGGAAGGCGAGGAAGTGATGAAGTCTTTTCTTGCCAAGTTCAGTGTCGGCAGCTCAGACACTAACAGCTTTCGATATTGTGGGAAGCAGTTCGTGCGAGGAGATGACAAGGTCATCAAAGTCGACACAGCAGATAACACTAGGAAGATTCATGGAGCAGATGTTGGATCTAGGCTAGGCAGTGAGCGTCTTCAGCAAGGAGACATCACGAAGCTCAGATCGATCACCGGATCGCTCGCCTGGATCTCGAGACAGACCAGGCCTGACCTTGGTTACAGGGTAAGCCGTTTGCAGTCTAGCATTAAAGATGCAACTGTGTCCACGTTGGCAGACGCTAACGCAGTCGTTGTCCTGGCACACAAAGGTCACGATGTGGCATTGTGTTTTCCTGCGGCTCATCTCCAATGGAGTGAAGTTGGTGTGATCACGGTCACAGATGCCTCCTTCTCCAACGAGAAGAACTACAAGTCGCAACAGGGCAGGATCCATTTTCTGGGTGATCTCAAGGAGATCAAAGATGACAAGACGACCACTTATAAGGTGATGCCATTGTCTTTTGGATCCACGACAATTAAGAGAGTCTGTCGCAGCACTCTCCAGGCCGAAACGTATTCCCTCCAGAACGGACTCGAGACAGGTGACAAGCTGAGAGGTGTGATTGCGGAGATTAAGGGTAAGATTCGCAGTCTGAAGACATGGGAAGATGATGCCCGTGAATGCATTCCGCATTTGGCGATGACTGATTGCCGTTCGCTTTCTGACCACCTCAATCAGGAAGTCCTGGCCAAGGTGAGTGACAAGCGCCTTGGTATCGAGTTGCAAGGAATCCATGAGAATTTGTGGCAAGAAGGAAGACCAACATGGATTGCTTTCGAGAATGGAGGAGACAAGTTGATCTGGATTGCCACCAGTACGATGGTGTCGGACTGTTTGACGAAGTCCATGAAGCCAGATCTGCTACTTCGAGTGCTGAAGGAGTGCCACTACACTGTACAGAAGCAGAAGTAGATTTCTCCAATGCCTTAGGAAGACACAAGAGTTTCAATGTATAGCCGTGTGACACCTGTAGAACAGGTTGAGTGTGAATTTGAGGTAGGATCTCATTCTGTTGAGCCAGGTTGTCACACTATGTTGTGTCTGCCGCCATTTGGCTCCTAGGGCCCTTGAGCTATACCGTGCTCGCTTTCGCAGTGAAAAGAGCGTGTGGACAGTACGATTCCGGTTGCTACCGACAATATGTTATATATATATATATATACATGATTGCAAGAGTATAATTTGGAGACTATACCGGAATAACTAATTCCACTATATTCCATTGACAAAGCCCAGACACTCCATGAATGGAATATATGCCGCCCCAGACAGACCTGTCCGGCAGCGCCAGACAGGTCGTGTTTGAATGGACGCATCCAAGCGAACAACCACATCCGCTTGCCCCCAAAGAACATCCGCACGATCCGTAAGTTCTTCGACTTCGCTGTTCCGTCAGTTTCTGGAGGCCTGGAGGCTGTTGGTCCAGCTCTACTTCTCTCCAAACCTCCAACAATAATCCTCTGAAAAGGAGTCAGTCTGAACAAGGGTCTATCCCAGCACACCTGCAACAGATTGTTAAAATATGCTCACTATAGGGTACGTATATATAAACATCAGGTAGAACAGGCCATTGCTTAACCAACAATCATCCACTGGGCCCGAGGTGATGGGATATTAGACCATCTTCTTAGACGGTCTTCCCAAATCACCCCAATGTAGACGGTTCATTCACAAACACCTTCATCTTTCAGAGCTTGTACCATCCATGTTTGGGTGGGATCTTCATCCGCCGTCTAAAATTCGTGTTTGGCACCCGCATCCGCACCCGTTTTCACGGAGGGCGCGCCCAACGCACGCGTTTTTGCGCGCCAGGACGCGCAAACGCTCCGACGGTCCACCACCGTGGCCGAGGAGATGGCAGACGGTCGGGTGGGTGAACACACCCGTTTCGGACTATTTAGGGCTGTAGTGTTGGTTGGAAAAGCCCCAAAGCAGGTGCTGAACCACACTTCATGTTGTAACATGTTGTAACTATATCAGTTTCCACCAGAGAAACTTCGGGTGTGTTTCACGACGGTTTGCTGCTGGTCTGCTGGATCAGAATACAATGCCGGAATACCATGACGACATCATGATTTGTGAATGCCCTGGATTCCCTGGATGCTTGTTCAGATTGACTTTGTGTGTTAATCCATGGCATATGTGCCAGAAATTCGGTGAGTCGTGAAGCTCATGTCACCAAGAGCATTTGAATCTAGTTGACAGAAAAGATGTTGCCACCTTTCACACATGTGACATGGAACCACCGCTAAGCTACTGTACTAGCCCCCCATTCGATGAGAACACTACTTGTCCGGACAAACTAAGCACGACCTATGCCTATACAGGTATAAATCCATGTACACCCCGTATATATTTTACCTACACATTCTATGCTGTGTAAAATCCATTCCGTACTCCCTGTGACTCCCTGTGTATATATAGTATATAATGCTACAGTATAATTACTCTGCCATGTCTCCCTGTCTGCCGACCACGACCGCATCTCACGCATCGCCGCAATTCCGCACGCCGCGACGCACTGCCAGAAGCGTGCCATCTACTCGCAGACACGGGCGGGGGGGAAAGGGCCGACTGGGCGATGAAACGGGTTGAGAATGGGGTAGGCGAAGTTGCTTGAGGCTGCCCCCATGATGGTGGTCTTGTAACTTGTATGTGATGCTTCTTAAATGTCATGAGGGTTCCTGATATCATACCTGTTGAAGATCATATTAGTTCCCTTGAATGACGGAGCTTATGATGTACCAATCCTGGGAGTGCTCAAACCTATTGAACACATTGTTTGAACATCGCTCTTTGATCCGAGTAGATATTGAAGAGACCCCCACCTGCTGAGGTTGCAGTATCCAGTGGATCCAGGTGCTTAGGTCCTATGATGTCCTAACTTTGCGTTGGTATACTAGATTCCCAAAAGCATTGCCGCGGTAGAAACCTGTAGAAACTAGGTCCATGGCTCATAGATGGATGTGAGGTGAGTTTTTTGTTGTTTCAGGATGTGTTGATTGTGTGTATACATTGTAAACCTTTAGCCTGTGTATACCGGTGTTTGATATGTTTGTCCACCGGTGCCACGCATGGTGTTTGATATACGCGCGTCCACCGCGTCCACCCGCTGTCCTCGTGTGGGTCACGAAATGGGATCTGGGATGATCTGGGAATTGAGTCCTTGGTTTGTCAACACCCCATACCACTTATTTACTCTCCAGGCATGGAAGCGGAAGATGAACCTGAACAAAAGGACCATGTTCCTTCGGAAGCATAGGGGAGCCGTCCAGTCCACGATTCCGTGGCATTTCTCTTGCACATCGAAGGTCCAGATGTGGCTGTGGGTGACACCAGGAATTCGAGAATGAACAGAATAGACTACACTCCCGAAAACTCAACCAACCAGTGGTTTTCAGGGTCCATGTTAGTTTTCGGGAGTGTAGACTACCTGAGAGGTCAACCTTCCAGGCTTTGCCTTCGCTGTCGCAACAGCAGCGAGTTCCGCCTCGCCCCGGTAGCGGTCACTCCTGGACCGGTCGCAAGGCGATCTTGCAGAAGATCCGAGCAAAGCAACCATCAGAGGCCGTTGGGAAAAAGCTCTCTCGTGTGTGTCTTGGGTTCCAAACGATATGTGCTTCTCCCCTGACAAGGTCCAGCTGATGTTGTTGAAGCGCCTAAATTCTGATTAACGACATCAAGTCAACTTCCAAGTGTTGTTGTCCTTTTTTGAAGAGAATTCAAGCCCTTTGCCACCACAATGGCTTCTATAAGTTCTAAACGTTTGCAATCTTGTTGTTTGTGGAGCTGGTAACATGGTAGACCTTAGCATTAGCATTACCAGCAATAATCCACGCATTAGCATCCCTCAATGTAGGCAGATCTGTCAATGCCGTGCATTGTTTGGGATCTACCAGTGCTCAACATCAGCAGTTGAACATGCACTGGAAGATTTTTCACCAGATACAATCCATGACAATCCATGCATTGACAATCTGTTTTCATTTCAAAACGATTCCTCGAGTTCCAGGCAGATGAGAATGCCGCCCTAGACCCATCGGGTCCGTGCCTCAGAACGCCTGGTTCACTGAGAAAAACGACGAGGGAGGCCTAGCAGTGGTTTAGGGGTCCAGATTTGGACCCACAGCCAATGAACCACTGCAAAGGAGCACACAGTTTCCACTCACTTTCGCAGTGTACGAACTTTAGCAGCTCCTTTGGAGCATATTCGTATACTGTATATTACTGTATACTGTAATAAATCTCAAACATCTAAATAAACATAGTAACTAATGATAATGAAAAATGATTAACAAAAACACATATATATATATATAGTATGTAGACAGGCTGTAGAACAACAATTGATTAATAAAAGTGTAGCCCTTCCTTACCTGGTGTGAAGATCACGGAGACAAGCATGAAACACACACAGAGGTGCTGAGTTCCGATGGGGTCCTTTTGGTTCCAAGGTGACAACTGATCTAGTCAACATAACAAGAGCTAAGCAGCCATGGCTCCTGTTTGCCCGAGATTTGATCTAACAATCACCGGAGTGTCAGATGCTTTCGGAAACACTGCTTGGGTTTGTGGAGGAGGCTAGTCGTCCAAAGGTCCATTTTCGGGTTGAACGTTCATCTTGCCGGGTGTAACACAAGGATTGGATCAACATATGGCAAAATCTATGGTTTGGGTCGGCCCCTTTGGTTTCTTGTGGCCCCTGGTTAGCAGCAACAAAGCATGATGTCCAGGCCCCGGGCGCCCTGTTCGTCTCATGAGGAAAGATTGAAGCTTCCTACGCCCAGAGTGGGGATTGGAGGCCGAGCTGAGCTGTCGGGTCGCTGGCACCACGTTCACGACCGAAGAGGGTGATATATAGGAGTATTGAGAGGCTAAGAGACCTCCACTTTGGATATGGGATATTCAGTGGGATATAGGGTTATTCAGTGTACAGAAGGTCATTCCGGGGTCCTCCGAAGTCATCAAGGCCAGGATTTGTGAGGAACATGCAGGCCTTGCTGAAGAATATGTTGACATTCCAGCAATGATGGGCTCGAGCATTTGGTGCTCATGTGTGCTTGCTAGCATCCATTCATGAAGATCCACGCAAACAGGTCTACGAGACCGTGAGGTCATAAAGGAGAGCTTGGCAACGACTTACGTAAAATCATGTAATATCTCCAGGTTTTGAGTTTTGAGGACGTGGAGTTCGTTTGCTCCTGTTTGAACCAAGCGTTCGCGCTCAAAAAGGAAAGCACGGCCGAGCCACCAAACGCGGTTCGAGCCGTGTGACGGGCGACTCGGCTGGACGATGGATGTCCACCACAGAAGCCGGTCAGACCTGTCGGAAGCACACGGCAACAGGAAAGTTCGCCAGTTCTTCAACAACAGCAAGAAGGCGGGCTTTGGGGTGATGAGAAGGACAGTTTGGCATTCGCGGATGAGCTGGGAAAAGGAGGCAAACAACCACAACTAACTAATGGGCTTCACTCATCTAATATTTCAGGTTGATATTTTGGAGTGGTGTTTAGTTCATGGATGGGACCACGTTCCAAAACAATCATCCACAGTCTGGTTCACCTCAGACACTTGTAGAAACATACCGCTAAGGAGTTGTACGGGGAACAATCGTGATGTTTCGTGTTGACAACCAAAAAATTCTCAAAATGATCTCAACCCAAGAAAGAAGGTCTTCCGAACAGAGATCGCCTTGAAGATAAAACATGTTGCTTCAGCATTTCAGCATATTTCAGCCTTGACTAGATATTCCTACCCACCATCCGCCCATCGCCTGCACCATCCGCCCACCGCGTCTTGCCTTGCTCTCCCTGGAACTAACATGCATGGAAGTGGAGTTCAATTTCTGTTTGGTCAAACCGGAAAACTCAAGGTCTTCCGAAATGGGGGCCGTCTCCACGTGGCGCCAGACGTCTCGGAGCCGGAGACGTAGGGTGACCACCTTGTTCTTCCGGTGGTCAACGACCACCGACGTTGAACCCAGATCTGATCTGAGAGAGAGAGAGAGAGTCGCCCATTGGGACGTGACAAGGGGCGGTGACGACCAGGGCAGTGCTATGGTAGAACAAGTCCGTTCTGTGAGCAGGACCCCCAAGGGGTGGTGAGTAATCCTAAGATTCATTCCTGTGCTCAATTCTCGAAAGGTTGGGGTCGCCTTCCATCATTGCTTTCATCCGAACACCATGTTTGTGCTTGGTAAGCAGTGCTACCCGCTACCCCACTACCTGTGCGAGTAGGGGATGCCGGCACCGAGACTTAGGAGTCGACTTCGACCACCTAAGCACACTTCCACCCGAGTTATACCAAGGGCGGTGCCGAAGGTTATTCGAAGTTTCTGGCGCTTGCCCTTTAGACTTTAGACCAACAAGTAGTATGGGTGTAAAGATTTTGTGGCCGTAGTTATCTAATTGCATAACAAATATATGACAAGGGCATGAGTCTTTGCCAGACGGTTTCCACCCACCCACACCTGCCGCGCAGAGAGACTCGTTCAAACGGCACCAGGTGCGGAAGACTCATGACGTGCTGGTCTCAGCGGAGAGTTGATCTCCGATGATTTGCTCGAGGAGAAGAGGTGAACCCAGGGGTCAGGTCGGTAGGATCGGTGACTGAGCAGTTTTGGTGCCAACTTAGGGTCAACAGGGTCTTCTCAGTTGGCACCAGGTCTCAATCTATGGGTTTCATCTATGTTTCATCGATCCAAGTATCTGCCCATCACCCAAGTCCTCGCTTGACCTTGCAGCTGAGGTCATGCAGGTTTGGCTGCAGGTGAAGCGCGACAACACCCGGCGCCGCCTCATGGAAGGCCGGGCGACATGCGGTGGGCAGCACTGCGGTGGCACGTGTATATGAAGCCATGGGATGGGTATACGCAAGAAGCTGAAATGATGTTCTTGGACTGTTTTGTGGGACATATTTAAAAATGTATAATATGTATATATATATATATATACATACATATTTGTTAAACAATAAGAAGACACCTGCAGGATTCCGAAGCCTATTAAAGCTTCATCTATTCTTTATTTAGATATATTGATATGTTATATATAATATATATATATAATATGTTGATGCGTTTGGCTTTACAGCTTGTTGAAGATCTTTCACTAGCAAAGCACCAATACCCCCCAACCCTCGCGGTGGACCCGATTTCGCCGTCTCATCCACCGCGGCGGTGCTCCCACCTGCCCTCGCCCTTGCCCTCGCCAGCCTTGACGGAGTTCATCCAATCCGAAGCGTCCCTCGGCAGTCGGATGGGGAGGTGAGGCAGAGAGGTTACATGAACCCGAAGAAACACATTCTGGATACAGAATGCTGAGAGGGGTGCAGAGTCACGCACTGGCACATCGAGACCTGTCATGACATCATGTCCTTTCACTTTGGCTAGGGGCAGAAACAGTTGGTCTTATCATGCTTCAGCTAGATGGAATATGTTGCGTGGGATGGGAGACCTGACCCAAGCCAACTCGAAGTGCAATACCTTTACAATGGCCGTTGGCACTCAGCACTGATGAGTTTTGGGCCATCAACTTTGCAGGGTTTGGGCTAATTGCCAATACCCCTCCAACACCAACTTGAAGTGTATGTACTCCCCTGCAGAGGACCACATGGTTGTAGAGGAAAAGAACCAATCACCGGTCCATTCTCGGGTTCCATGTTAGTTTACGGGGATGTAGTGAACGAAAACGGTCTTCCCTTGGTCGGGACATGGACAGTCCCAGCTGGGCCGAGACGGGCCTAGGTTGCGCGCTGCGCAGGCAGCCGAGGCGTGGGATCACAGCAGTTCTGAACTAACCACGGCAGGGCAGGAAGAGGAATATGTGTGTCTTGTTTTCATCATCTAAATCAAATCATTCACAAGAACACAGACAGACAGGAGATTTTATGACAAAGTTTGGACACCATTTGAGTCTTAAATCCTGAATCTCAATGCGTGTGGTTGTAGATGTGCCCAAGGGTTTTACTGTGTCCATCCAAGACAATTCATGTCTCTCGTTATTCATTGCGATCTGGATGGTTTCGCCCCTTAACAAGGAATAAGTCTTGGGTCCCTTTTGGAAGACGGTGTCAACATAGCTTCACAAATCCAGACGGAGGTGTTGAATGTTGTTTCATCATCCAGAGACGAGTGTTTGTGTCTTGTGTATGTTAAATTGTGTGTCTCTGTTGAACTATCACTAAGTACTTGCGATGCACATTCAGGTCACATCAACTAAGTCCAGCTCGCTTGGCTTCCGTGCCGCTTGGCCGGGCTTCCGCGCCAGGCCGCGGAGGTCTTCCACGCGCTGGAGACGGCCGCGGAGGCTCTCCAAGGCTCGGTCGGGGAAGGGCGTCACCGTCGCGTCGCGGCGGGACGTGGCGCAGGCCGCCGTCGGTCGAGGGTAAGAAGAAACATGATTGGTCCTTCAGAGCATCTTCAGGGGAAGGAGTAGTAAATCATCTTGCAGAATGTGAACCACTTAGGCTATCTCTGATGGTGCATCATGTGCTTGAAAGAAGTCCATGTCCACTTCCATGTTGTACTAGGAACTCCAGGAAACCATGCTTGACAACATCAACAGAAGATCACAGTCATGTGATGAATCAACGTGTTTCGTTTTGACCGCAAGATCCTGCAGACTCATGCGGACTTATCTTCATACCGTTGGATTCAAACGATCCTTCTCTTAAAGGCCTAGTTAAAGTTGTGGTCAGCAACCCAATAAAAGGCTGCAGCTGGTGGGCCTTTCATCCTCATAGCCTTTCCTTTCCTACTTCTTCTGTTCGTCTCAAGAGTCCAGTGCTATCACAAGAAGACCACAGAGTCTCTAGAGTCTCTACAGTCTCTGGAGTCCAGTAATTCTGGACTTCCACCCAGAACTGGACTTCAGAACTCTAAGAGTTCGACTGGATTCGACTTCCACAAGAACTCGAAGGAGGACCAATAGTTGACACTTCGAATCCATCGACCACCCGATTCGTGGCCGATTCGTGGCAGGAGAACCAAGTGGCCTGGTGGCAGATCGACACACGAGTTCCCCACTCCACACAAGTTTGGCAAGGCCTTTCCTAGTGATCCCCAAATAGATAGTGGCACGGTGTCCAACGCATTTTGTTGGAGGGGATCTACTTTTCTATCTTTGGGGACCACCATATCCACCTCCAGTTCCTAGTTCAAAAGAACAAAGATGGCTTTGAAGACCTGATGGATTGATTGGAGCCACCATATTACATTTGTGTTGATCCCTCGCAAAAACCAGGAGAGTTCGAACTGCTCTCCCTGCATGAGGTTTTCGCCCGTCCGAACTTAAGCTCCTATCCATTTTTGTTGGATGGGGAATAGATGTATATGAGGGCTTAAACACTCACAAGAAAGAGTATACAAGAAAGAGTATACATGATGTTTGATGTTTGAACTGATATGTACAAGAAAGAGTATACATGAGGGCTTTGACACACATCAAGACAGCTGGGCCGCAGTCCAGCCGGCTTCTAGTTGGACGTAGTGTCCACCAGAGTCGTTCGGCCAACACCCACCCAATGTTGATTCCTGTGTTTCTCGTGTTTTTATTCTGGAAAGCTTTCACTGGAGCGGAGGTAAGGATTGGATGTGTGCATACCTGGAACTTGATCAAGCGCATTTATACACAAGTTACAGGCGTTCATTGGAGAGCTCGCGGACGTTTTACCCGAAAGTGTTTTTCAGAGGATTTTGATTTTGGTTGCGGATGTTTGTGTGGTTCACAGACCTAAAAAAAGGTACATAACTACCGACCGGGCAACCGCGTGGTTGCAGGTATGTTTTCCAAGCGCAAAGCAGGTGACTGAGGAGTTTTGATTGAGAGTCACAGTACATACACACCCTACGTTACCAAAACCTTTACAAAATCAGGGCGTGGTTCCAAACCTGAATGGGTATGACAGCAATCAACCACCAAACCGCTCATCAGATCTCATCAGGAATACGCCTTTTGCTGTCAGCGACGTGTTCCGTTGAACGGCGTTGCGTTCCGTTGGTTTGAGCGAGTTTCACTTCTCATGTTACGGTGATGCCGGCTACCGCCGGTGCTCGCTTGCTCAGGAGAAGAGATTGTGGACATCCACGTTTTCTCCAAGAAAGCTGCCGCTGTGTCAAGAATGGTTGAAACAGATTGAGAAAGAATGGGTTCCATCATTGGACCATCCGGAGATCCTGGAGATCCCAGTGTGCTGGGATCGTCCAGACAGACAGGATGGTCCTGGTTGAAAGCAGAGTAGTTGAGCCATGGATGGATGGATTTCGGCCCTTGGATGGTGGGAGTCATAGGCAAATGGATGGTTGTCGCGAAAGAGAAAATAACAACTTGTCGTGTGAGTTTTTTCTGTAAGGCTCCAACCCCGCGCATCCGAAGATGGTTAGACCCCCCAAAACCACCCACCCCTGGCCCACGTTCTGAGAAAGCGGGCCAGGAGCCCAAATGTGGACGTCTTGATTATACAATAACCCCCCCATGTAATTCAGAGGTTTCTCAATCCAAATGGGAGGAGTTTATTAATCAAGAGTCTGAGTTTTGTTGGCATGGCCTTGAGCCTAGTAGGGCCTAGTGTTTGCACTGCCTGTAGTCTCCATGGGCTGTGCCACTACCGGTGTTTGCACAGAGTCTGCGTGGCGTGCCTTTCATCAAGAGTCTACGTCGCTTCCGCTTCCACCGAACAGGGTGACCTCATGGAGTCTTTGGCCACCATGAAGAGTGAACAGGCGGCGCCCAGCAGCCCGGCCATCGGTGGGAAGAGCGGTGGCGTGCAGAAAAACGATGGAAAACACGGTGTTTTTCGATATGTGGATAAAAATGGCTTCAAATTCAAAGCAGTAGTGGTGGGACTGGAAGAGTTACGGATTTTCTATTGAGAGAATTGGTTCTGTAGCCATACGCCTGTAGCCATTAGGGTCCCCATGCGCCCCTCTGATGTTGATGCAAGAGGTTGTCAAACATGTCAAACCCTTTGATCTAGCATATCTAGATTATGGGCAGGAACCCCGTCTCAGGTGGCAGAGGCTTTCCTTTTTGAAGGAGAACAGACTGGTGCAGATTTGGGCTTGGACCATCGTGTGATTCGCCTGGATTGAAGGTAGACTTCGTCCTCCGAAGTGCACACCTTTTGGCAAAAAAGCAACATAACCAGAGACACGCAGATCACCAGCTACAAGCTTCCGATCCACTCTTAACAAGGAACCGGTCGGTCCCCCCCTGTGCCATGACCCACTGCCATTGTGTTTTCTTGGCAGGATGAGCTGCTGCGCGAGGCCGAGATGTTCTCGCGGTCAACCAGCGACGGAGTCATGGAGAAAGTCATGGACTTGTATAGTTCTCAAGCTGGAGAAAAGAAGGAACAGTTGTGCATCATAGAAGGAGGCTAGTTACGCAGCATGTGAACAACTAAATTGTTTGTTGTCCTTTTTTGCGTGCAGGATCCTTGATCAAAAGGTGTACGTAGTACAACATGTTGTTCTGTTCCTGCTACTGACATCTACTTATGCACATGAAGACTCTTCACTGTTCACCATCCTTTCACCACGCATATGGGACACACCGCCAGCCACCGAAGGGACAAGATGTGGGACAGGAACACTCCCCTTCTCCGGGCCCTCAAGGTGGTTTGTAGAGCCTCAGTAGCCCAGATGGAAGGCCATGGAGTCTTGCAATGTGTGCCTCACGGGGTATGAAATGATCAAGCACCATTTCGGATGTCACATGCCACTGAAGATGCCGCTGAAAAAGATTACACCATAGGATTGCCCCTACCAAGTTTATGATTGGAAGACAGACAACTTGAAGGATGAAGGAGACCTCTCAATCCATGAGATCTAATATATATATATATATATAGACATCATAATCATACACTAGATCCACTCCCCAAAACTAACCTCTTTTTTTGCACCAAACAAACACCTTTATTGGAACACGCCAGAAGAATGGCAACAAACACTTCATGACCACCAGCATGGACGTCCCCATGGACAAGCAGTTGAGCAGTTTCAAATCGTCCCTTCTCATCTCTTTCTCGTTTCTTCCCTTCGAAATCGATGCAGCGCAAGGTGGAAGCGCTGCAAGCGAGCATGAACCTCTCCTCGCGCCGAGCTGTCTGGAACGCTCAGTAAAACGGGTAAAACAATAGAACATCCCCGGAGATGTACGATGATGTAAGCTGTAAGATGAGGTATCCATTCTGGATTCTGGACCTAGTTTTTTGTTTAACTAATCAACATTGCATTGTATATAGTTCTAAGCGATTTGGACATATTTGGATCATTTTGGACCCTTGGCTGTGAGGAAGAAAGTCGGATAATACATCCTCCAAAAGTGGTGTTGGAGAACGTATCCTTTGAGGCAGAACTGGCAGTTCGTTTCTCACAGCCTGGCTCCGGCGTCTCGCGCTCCTAGGGTCGGCTGGTGGCCAAGATCAATGCGAGCGAGATGGGCGACAAGGTGAAGGCTGGTCAAAGGACCCCGGTCCGTTACTGCCCGCCCAGACCGCCCAGAGGCATTGAAAGTCATGTGGAAGAGACAGCAAGCACCGGTGGAAGATCGGTTGGATCCGTAGCTTTGAGAGTGGATGCATGAAATGATTGGACATCTGAGCCACATTGAAGTGACAATCTATATACCTATACCAATTACCAAACGACCCCCATGCTTCGGCGCAGCATTCCTCCGTGTCTTGGACACCAATTCAGCCGGGAACTGCACTCCTTCAGCCTCGCAGTGACTGCGAGGTGACCCGCTCACACATGCACTTCGATTCCCTCCGGACTGAACTGTGTGCCCAAATCAAATTGCACAAAGCAATTTGCGGTTGATCATGGTTGATCTATCCCAAGACATTTGGGGAAGGAGTTGGAGCTGTTGTTCTGCTGAGAAGAGCAGGAGTATCAGATCCTTTCCTCGATGCCAGGGTGGAAAACTTTTGGAGCGTTGTTGTTGTTGTTGTTGTTCTTGTTTCGCTGGTAAGCGGTGTATTTTTCTGTGAATTGAGCTGTTTTGCTGACGCCATGAGCTAGACTCACCTTTGAAACTTTGGCTGCAAATCTGGAAAACATACAGTAACAACAACAAAAACAACACATGGACAAATGGAAAGTGGTGAAGCTGGGCAAGCCCTACCCAAAAGGACCTGTGTTGAAACTCGCGTTTCGACTGGAAACTCGCACCGATGAAACTGGGCGCGTGAGCAAATTTTGTCGCCATGTCTTTACTGGGTTGTTCCGCCGGATTCTATCTGTGGTTTACAGTACTCACCAACCAGGGCAGAATCCTTGGATTCGTCGACTTTTTAGGCTCCTTCGTCTCCCTGAAGCAATCCAGAAAGTCCAAGAATGACTTCAACAGATGCTGGTTCACTGCTTCACCTTCCTGAATCAAGCTTGAAAGGGACCCTTAGTTCATGGAGTTCTTTGGTTTGCTAGGATGATAGTAACGGCCACATCCATTCGACATCGTGAGGCCATCCAAGCCTTAGCAGCGAGTGTCCTCCAGGCGGGTCCTTGAAAAGGGCTCAGTGTCCAGTGCCATGGTTGGTTTGGGTATGGAGGTTTGTAAGGTGTTTCACTTTGTTGTTCAACCAAGATGGTCCAGGTTCCCTCTTTTGCGAGACCTTTTTTACAAGGGCTAGCTTGTGGGTGTAGCGTGATGTTGACAAGCATCCACACGGTACTATTCCCCGGAACAAAAGGGGGTTTCACAACTTTAAAGCGACGTTTAAACCATGAAGACAACAATTTGTTTCTAGAAGAGCACATACATTTATTATATATATATATTATATAACAATCATCCAAACATATCCCCAAATTTATTTCATGGATGTTAAATTTGGGGACCTCGATCATCACTACGTTAGCATCCTTTCACTGGAATCCGGAATAGTGTGGTAGAACCCCACATGGACTCACCAAGAAAACTATAGTGCTGTGCTGTGGAGGAAGGTTGTTTTCCGACGGTCGATCTGCAGAGCCTATGGGCTGGTTTGCGGGGCAACACAATAACTCTAGAATCCCAGCTAAGATGCAATTTGTGTCGTGAAATCTAGGAGGAACAAGAGCTTCAACGGCGCAAAGGGGTGCATCTTCTAAAAGACCAAACACTTCTGACAATTAGAGCCAACAAGGGGGTTGTCCTCAGACTTTATGACCCATCTCCGCAGGGCATATGAACTGTTATGGGATCGCTAATTTGTTTTGCAATCAAGGTCCGAGGGCATCCCCATGGTTGCCATGAAATCCTCCTGTAGTTGATCACAACAGTGTTTCACCCAAATGTTCCAGACATTTTCGGTCTGAGAATCTGAGATCATCTGAGGGTTTGCGTAGGAGAATCTGGAGCATTTGGGCAGCGTGTAACTGACCTATCTAGCCTATCTAGCTATGTGTTGGGCTTTGGAGGGTGTCCTATGTTGGGTGATTGGGCTGATGTCTTCATCAGGCTTGGACCTACCGGGCGATATGTTCACGGAGAATCCCCACTTTCACAACCGATATCTCAGTAGCGTACGTAATGTGAATGCCAGCAGCCCTCAAAACACCGTGAAAAAAAAAAGTGTTCACACACAAAAAACATGTTTTGTTGCTCATGAAAACCGGGTTTTGGATGGTTATATACTGGGGCCATGTGGGGCCCCTGGTGTATGAAGCTTAGTTTGATCAAACCAGTAACCATTGTAGAATCGAGTTCCATGTCAGATTATTGGACTGGTTTGTTGACCCATGATCCACTCACTGAATGGACAATGTTGGACCTAAACAACGGAAAAAAAAGAACATGGAACTTCTGAAAGTACTTTGACTCTTTGAGCTTCGGGTTGTTCTTCATGGTGTGAAACAACTGAAGCTCATCGTAGGTCCTTTCCATGCCAAGGACGATGAAGAAGAGGATGCCGAAGAATCCGTGGAAGAACAGGAGCAGGACAGCATGGAACTTCAGGCTTCCTTGTGGGCAGAAACGCGATGAGCCCAGTATCGTCCAACATCCTAAGAGCAGGAACTCAGAAGTTATCAAGACAGAACCATCGAAATAGATTCACCTAAATCCGTGCAATTAACTAAATCCTTGATGATCCTTGGTTGTTTCGATAAGACCACAAACAAATACATTATATATAATATAGCTATATATATATATACACACCTACCTTTGCCTCATGACATCCCGTGACAACCACATGCAGTGACGACCACATGTGGGCGTTCATGGCACTGGGTTCGACAGCCCAGCCTGGAATTCCGAAACCCACAAAATCGACCTACCAACGAATTCCGAGTGCCGCACATGGATGCTCAAATGGAGCACCACATGGTTTCAAAGATCGACAGCCTTCAAAACAAACACAGGAGGAGTGCGCTGCATCGGGCGCTGCATCGGAGGTGGGAGAAGTTGCGAGTTCTTTCTGCTTTTTGATGGACTTTCGGTGATCAAAGTTAGTTCATCTAAGTCCATTTGGGACAGAGGTATCTCAAGCGTCTCAAGCATCTTCATTATCCATTTTGACTCTAACAAGTGGGAATCGACCGGCACTGCAAATGCAATTTGAAGGTTGGTTTGGAAACTTCGGATGATGCCAGGTTTGCCAACTGTCCCTGTGAACGAAACCAAGAAGCTGTGCAATCACATCGAAGACAATGCGTTTCTTCCAGTTGGATGATTTTGTGTGAACAAGCAAGCCAAGGACAACCCTGCCAAAGCTTGGGCGTAGGCATAGGGTATGGTTACTCCTTGTTCATGTTGGGGTCCTCTATCAGTTTGGCAATGATTTATATAGGCGAATTTACAATTGTTGATCCCCACTTGCCAGAGATATGATTCTGAGTCCTTCAAGAAAATTCTCAACATTGTGTTTATTTCGCACCGAGAACATGACCGAAGGTGACACTCAAGTTCGCTTGACTCCTACCTTTTGGTAAGAAACGGTGTAATTGTTTTACCCCGTCTCGATTTGATGTCCAAACCCCCAGATTGGGGAATATGCCAAACCCTGCTGTAAGAGCTTCTGCCAGACAAGTCAGAATTTAAAGAAGGGAAGGAGAGGAGAGATCCAATTTGGGCACACCAGCTGGAGACGAATTAAATTTCAGACAGATGAATGATCCAATGATGTTTCCACCCCTTTGGCAACAGTTCCCACGTTGGCCCGTTGGTTGTTCATTGCTAACTCTGTTAACAGATCGCTTCAAAAAGAACAACGGGCGGTGGTGAACTCATTCGACCCACAGCCGCAGATCGACCCAAAAGTCCATCAGCCATTCCGGGGGTCCGCTGTGATCACTAGACTAGTTGCATTTTTCAGGCCAAGGATTCATAGCGGTTGCCGCCCAAAGAGGCCGGCTCACTGCATCAAGCTCATTTGCCAAGCAGCCATGGGCATCATGGCCACGAGGGAGATGAAAATCCAAGTGCAGCAGATTAATGGAAGAGTCGATGAAGTTGAAGTGCTGCCGGACACCAAGCAGTTTTATCAGTGTTGTTTCCTTCTAAGTGGTTTTCTTAGTGGGAGATCCTCATATCCACCACTGTGGTTCATTGCAGAAGAGTTTATATATATACATACATATATATATACATAAGTTTCTGTGTTGTGCATCCTGTTGTCATGTCGTCAAAACAGAAACCAAACAAATCAATAAGGAATATGACACTCAGTCGGACTCAGTCGGGCTGTTTGACAGCATGCCTGAGGACACCACCGTGCACCAGTTCAAACAGCAACTGAAAGAATTGCAGCCTGATGTGATCAGCAGGAAATTGACCCACCCAGAGGTGGTCCTCAGGCACACACGCGTGACCGACGATGATGATGAGAAGACACTGCTTGAAGTCTTGAATTTTGAAGGTGCACCAGCAGAGGTGGGACCCAAGCGCCGGAACTCTTTAGAAGCAATATGTGTTGTGTGTGTGTTGTGACTTGACTATAAGATGTTATAAACCATAAGTATTTGTTTGTTGATGTTGTTTCGTTGTTTTGTTTTTTTACTTCGCATTTTCTTGACATAGCAGATAATGTGCATTTTTTTGTGTTAATTGTGCTCGTATTTTTAATTGTTGTTTGCTTGTTTCTTGTGTTTTTTGTTCTCATTGCTGCTGCTGCTGGTGCTGGCTCTGGTGTTGGTGTTGTTGCTGCTGCTGTTGGCTGTTGGCTGCGGCTGCTGTTGCTGTTGTTCTTGAATTTTGTTGGACGAGATTTGGATATTGTGTATAATTAATGTTCAGTGTGCTTTGGCTTGAAGCTTTCCGGCTTTTGTTCTGTCACTTGGTTCTTGCTGTATGTACTGTCATTCTTGATCATGCTGCTGTTTGTGGTTGGGTACTCTTTCAAGCTTATCGACAAACAGGCAAAGAGGGCATGTGAACAACATCCATGTGAGGTCTCACAGGTTGTTTTTACACTTCCACACCCGAGAACTTGGCAGGTGCAGGTCATTTTCAGGCTGATCGAACCAGTGGAATGCGCGAGTCGACAAAGTTATCGTGGCGAAATCTTTGTGAAGATCCCCAGCTTTGTAGCAAGGATCGAGGATAGGGCGTTTCATGATTGCACAGAATTGCTGAAGGTGGAAATTCCCGACACGGTGTTGCACATTGGAAGAACTGCCTTTAGCGACTGCAGTGCATTGACAGAGGTGATGATTCCTAATGCCGTGGCTTTCATAGGAGAACGTGCCTTCAAAGGCTGCCACTCCTTGCGAGAAATTGTACTCCC